AACTTCTGTTTGTTTCTTGCTGACTCTTAGCAACCCAGTTCAAGCTTAAAGGCATCTAACTGAAAAGCCCGCTAATGGCTCTTAGCAACCAAGTTGGATTAACCTCTTTTTTACAAAACATTTCTAAACATCATAGCCTCTTTTGTTTGTATAGTTTCAGGATCCAGTAAGGAGATGAATCAACAGAAATTGCGGATGCAACTGTGTGGAAAATTCAATTCAGATCATGCATAACAAATTATATAACTATGATTAATTTAACTCGGTAATTGAAGTTTCAAAAGAAGGTGATTATGATATCCACGACAGAGGACGCAAAAGAAAACGAGTAAAAAAACTCACCTCAGGACTCGGAATCAGATTTGAAAGGACCTACGACAGGTCAAAAACGGGAATTAGGGTTTAAGCGATGTAGGGATAAGGTTTTCCCAATACAGGATTGCAATCGCTTCGCAGCAGGATAAGAGGCTATCCTCGTCCCTGACAATGCTTTTACTTTTGTTTTTTTAGGAATATTATTTTTTTTTATGAAATTCATGGAATCAAGTTATATATATATATTTCCCACGATAATTTTTTTTACCAAGTGATTATGTTATGGAATAAAAATTCCCTAATATATTTTTAAGTCGTAAGCATCAAATTAATTTTTTAAATCTATATATTCATATAAATACATCTATAAAAATAATCGTATTTATACATAGTATATATAATATTTAATATGAATGAAAATAATTTTCAAATGTGTTTGGCATCCAAACAAAGGCTTAATCCACCGTTAGAAATTGTTTGGGAGTTTGGATGATGAGAAATTTTGTCTTTACTATGTTTCCCCCCCTACTATTTTTGGCATGTATCCAAACATACCCTCTGCCAATTTTGAAGGCTTTGATTTCAGTACAGCAGCAGGCTATTTGAAAATTGAAACCCAAATACCAATTGATAATGAATTTCAAATTATACAATTGGATTGAAATTCACAAAAATAAAAAATAAATTAAAAGAATTGATAATGAATTCCACAAATAAAAAATTATCGCAAAGTACTTGACTCAGTTGACTGTTGAAAATATTCGGCCAATAAAATTCAATTACATTATTCAATACTTGTAATGTTGTCGTATCTATACTTAATAAAATATTGAAATCAAAATTTTTTAGTATCAATAAGTTTTTATGAGAATTGAGTAATTAATTCAAAAGCATCGACCATATGTGTAGCGCCCGGACCGAGGGAAAAAAAAAAAAAGCCACGTCGGCAGCCACGTCAGCAGGCCCGGTCAGCAGTCCCGGCCAACCGGGGCCTGCCACGTGGCAAGACCACATCGCTCCTGAACGGGTCACGTTGGCGATCCGCGTGGGCGCGATCGGACGGTCCAGATCAATCGCATGATCGGACGGCCCAGATTTAATCAAAAACGGACGGCCCAGATTAAAACAAAATGGACGGCTGAGATCAAAGGGCAAGGGGTTATAAATAGAACCCCCACACCAGACCACAAACCCTAGCCGCCTGCCGCTCGCCGGAGAAGACGAACCAGAAGCCGACCGCCGCCACCCGCCGCCGCACCGGAGAAATTTCCGACCGCCGATCGAGGTAAATTTCATACCCCCGACTCGTTTTTCCACGCTGATTCCTCCTATGGCCAAATCGAAGCCAAAATCCCGGTCAAACGGCCGGAATACGCGGCCGAAGACCAGCGGCGCCGCCGCGCCCCCTCTCGGTTTTTGCATCCGACGAGGCCCTTCCCGGCCTCCGTTTGATGCAATTTTTATATCACCGTGATCACCATTCTTTTCTCTACAGGTTGACCGGAGCCGAATCACCAAAACACGAACCTCGCCGGAGAGCCGCCGCACCCGAGAGCGCCGCCGCCGGTAAGCTCCGTTTTTCAGTGATTTTTTGGCCCCCCGAGGGCCCTAGGGCTGTTTTCTCACAGGGGCCGATGCGAGTATGGCCGAATTCGGCCGAAAACGGCCAAAAACAGCCAACCCGAGGCGACTCGCCGCCGCCAGCGGCGGCGCTGTCGCCGGAGCACGGCGGAGCCGCCGTGCCAGAGTTGCGATTTGGGCCGAAAGAGGCCCTGGGCCTAATTTGGGTTTTTTTTTGGAACACGTGCAGGTACCGTTAGTGTGTTTCAGTTTTTCCAGGAAAAATTCAGGGAAAATTAGGGACGGCCTGTAGGCGCACTGTGAATCGTATTTGGATCCTGAAAATAAGTAAGGACCCCTCACCCTATTTCCTATCACGGTATTAAAGTTCAAAATGATAAAACGGTATTTCTTGAATTAACGCATGTGTGAAATTGCTTAAGGTTGCTAATGGAGCCCGAATCTAGTGTGATTGATGATTTACTGTTATTTGGCCTGTTTTACAGCTTTAAATGCATTATGAGGTTTGATGTGTTCATTTTATAGTTTCGAATGCATATATTACTGTTTTATTAATTATGGGTTGAATGACTGAAGAACTGATACTGTATGTTGTCTGTTTGGCATGAGTTACGATTTGTTTTCTTAAATGTGAATTGATGATGCTTATTGAGGAAAAGGAAAATGAAAGATTGTGTAGACTGATAATTGTATGATGGGGTTAGCCTGACTAGATATCCTGAGAGATGGTGGACGGACCGGGTCCGTAGGGAACCCTACCGGGATTGTGGTCTCACATGCCGGACAGGGTATGGAGATCTTATGGTTTTGGCGCCCATACCGGACGGGGTATGGGAACGGCCCGTTTCACCCTCACACCGGACGGGGTATTGAGGTTTATGGTTTTGGCGCCCATACCGGACGGGGTATGGGGACGGCCCGTTTCACCCTCATACCGGACGGGGTATTGAGGTTTATGGTTTTGGCGCCCATACCGGACGGGGTATGGGGACGGCCCTGGAAACTGATTATGAATGTTAAAGGTTAACGGGTAGCAGGACCCCTATGGACCCCCATGGATACTAGTAGGCTGGTAAATGAGAAAAGGATATGTTGTATAATGATTGAATTACAAAAGGCGTGATAAGTGCTATATTTTACAGCTTATATTATTCCATGTTTGTGATAATGTTATTGTTTTCTTATATTGCTTCATGAATTCCACCGAGGTAAGTGGATGGTAAAGGTTTTATCATAAATAAAAAGGATTTGTTGTAAATCATGCTCCATTGGTCTTTTGTGTTTTTCTACCCACCTTTACCTCCGTGACGGTGAGATATCGTGATGTTCTTACTGGGCTAGTGTAGCTCACTCCTTATTTAACCATTTCAGATCAGGAAGACATGGTTCCCGAGCCCGTTCCGCAGGAGGACGACGAAGGGGATGCCTAAAGACTCTGTAGTCATACTCATAGTTTTATTTTCGAGTTTCTCTCTTAGTTAGTTAATCTTTTATACTTTAAGTACGTTTTTGGTTTTCGTGTAAGAGATGTTAACTGAAATTTTGATCTCGCTTCCGCATTTAACATTTATAATATAATTTCCATTTTTTTGAATTACCGAGGCTGCTACAATATAAACAAATTCAAATATCAAAAAAACTTTTTTGTTAGTCTTAACGAATGAGATCGATTATTATTATTATTATTTTTTAGTTACAATTATAGGCGTATGTATATGTGCAAAGGCAGTTACAAGTATTATATGTGCAAAGGCATGGGTAATACATATATCTCAAACTTACATTATCAATACCAAAAGTTTGTTAAAACAACATGGTACATAGATATTTAGTCAATCTTTCATCGATATAACCATGCCTAAAAATAAAAAAATAGTTGACACTATATTTGTTAAAACTCCGTGCTCCTCTTTACTTAAATATGATGAAATCGTGAATATAAATTTTCTTAGTTATATTATTGCATCGCCTTATTAACAATGTTAAGATGACTGAAAAATATATTATTGAATTATGAGGTATTTAAAGATAAATACATTTGATATATCAACAAATTTTGATTTGAAACTAACATGTTTAACTCATCGTATATTTAAAGTAAAGTTTAATAAAAATTTATTATTCTTTTAATAGACATTTGTAATATTATGATTGCTTTTATATGTTAAACATTTTATTTATTTTTTTTTATTTTGTGATTGAAATAGGATACCTTATATAAACTAAATTAATTAATTAATTATATCTTCTATCTCATTAACTTATATAAAGAACGAACAATCTATGTATTCTAAATTTATAAAATATGGTTGACTAAGAATATTTTATTAAATAAATAAATTATTTTTGTAGCATTTATTTAAAGATTTTAATTTTCCGATTTTCCTTATCAATATTTATTTCTAATTGAAACTTTTTTAGATATAATTAAAATAGTACATCTTGTCCTATAAAAATGTACAGAATTAATATATACTAAATAAAAATAAATTTATAAAATAAAGTTTTAAATAAATTTTAAAAACACAATTAATTTATCTTACGTTAGAATTTTAATATGTAACGAATTATCATCCTAAGATGTTCAATAAAAAATTAATTAATTGTATGCCAGCATTATAAAGTATTTAATCTTTTTTTTTAAAAAAAAAAAGACATTCGTGTGGTATGGAAAGCCCCGTAAATAGTTTTTTTTTTTAAAAAAAAAAAAATTATAAATATTGTTTGGCACCAAACATAATTTATCCCGCATCGTGTTAGTCGTATCCTCGCATGCACGTGATTTTTTTTTAAATATTAATATTTTATTGTTTTAATAAAATATAATATATATTTATTTTAACTAAATAATAATTAAATTTTTAACTTCCACTTGTGGATATTTTGAAACATCGCATAATACATATTTATTTTTATAATAGATAAGAATTAAATTTTCAACTTCCACTTTATTTTAAGTGGAATTTTTTTTTTTTTAATTTTAAGTGTGTTTTTTTCTCCTCTTTCATTTTTTTGGGGGGTGATTTTTACTAAACAAACATGGTCATTATTTATATATTTGATTTTAGAATTATATCATAAATAAGGTTAGCTTTTTAAAAAAATTAATCATGAATAATATTCTTTATCTATTTTTAGTTTAATTAGTAATAGAATTTTAATTTGGTTAAATATCTTTTTTCATGTAAAATTTTAGTTGAATTAGGATTCTAATTTATTTACATACCATTATTTTATTATTTATTCAATATATTTGTAATAATACTTTATTTTATGATGCAAGTATTTTTAATTAGTTTAGTTGATAATTAATTAAATTACTAATAATTTAGATAAATATAATATTGAATTAATAGATAAACATTTATCATCATAAAAATCTATTGTGATCTACAGATTTAAAGATTATCATTATCAATATTCATTTAAAATCAAACTTCCAAATATATGTAAACTTAATAAATAGACTTTATCTATTCTATATTTTACGATCAATGATAAACTCCTTCTTATATAAAGCTGCTACTGAAAATGAGAAGTTGCAGTATTTTTTTCCTAAGTCTTAACAGTTTGTAAGGGTATCAGAGCAATCGATCTGAATTGATCATTTTTAAAAACCCAACCCGTAACCTCATCATCTCCCTCAAAACCTCAATCAGCTTCTTCTCCATCTCCATCCTGTCTGGCTCAACAACTCCCAAGCATCTGATAATAAGCCTCCAGTGTGCCAACACACACTAAAAAGGGTCCTCCATCTCAAACAACTATTAGTCGTAAATACTCCAACCGTCGACAGTTTTGTCAAAGCTAGTATTCAAACATTACTCTATCTATTCATCATGATCAATCCGTCTAATCAAATTCCTATTAATAACAATAATGAAGCTCACGTCAATCTTATCAACATCAATATTATTGCTCAAACACCTCTCAAATTAACCTCTACCAACTACTTTTCCTGGAAATTTTAATTTCACAACTTATTCATCGAATATGATCTTCTTGGTTTTAATGATGGAACCAAACAATGCCCACCTGCCACCCTCACTGATAATGGAATCACCACACCAAATCTTGCACGCTTCTTTTGGATCCAACAAGATCAACTTATCCTAAATGCTATTAATGGCTCCATCTGTCTAACTATCATCTTTTTTATTGATCAATCTAAAACTTCATATGAAGCATGGACAATATTAGCCAACACATATGCCAAGCCCTCTTGTGGACACATCAAGCAAGTTAAAAGCCAACTTAAAAACCTCACAAAAGGGCAGGCTATTACCACTGAGTACATGTAGAATGTCAAAGCCTAAGCCGATGAACTTACTCTTCTTGGAGCACCAATAGATGTAGAGGATTTCATTGAAAAAATTATAGAGGGTCTCGACAATTCCTACAAAGAATTAATCCTTGTTGTTCAAGCCAGAGACACTGATATCTCATTTGAAAAACTTCATGAAAAATTACTCAATGTTAAAGCTTCACTACTTACAACTGCAACTGAGCCCTCTTATTTTTCAGTTACTACCAATCAAACCACAAATTGGTGCTCACTATCCCGCACAGGACACAACAAATATTGTTGGCACCCATCATATTCTCATACTACTGGTCACCCAGTATCTCTAACCGATGGGTCGACTTCAATGAAATGTGATCGCCCCTCTCGCCCATACCTTGGTTATTGTCAACTATGTAGACTTCGAGGGCACACTACGAAGCATTGCTTCTCCTTTCGGCTTGTTCCTGTTCGCTCCTCAAGCGACACCAATAATCCGACCACACCATGGTAACCATGAGCTCACTTTGTTGCCAACACTCCAACCACTCCATTATGGCTACTAGACAATGGTGCTTCTCATCATCTCACCTCTAACTTAAGCAACCTCTCACTGCACACTCCATACAATGGTTCTAATGATATTATGATTGGCAATGGCTCGCGTCTATCCATCAGTCACAGTGGTTATTTTTTCTCTTAAAACTCTTCAACATAATTTTTAATTAAATAATGTTCTCTGTGTTCCAAGCATGTAAAAAAATCTTATTTCAGTCTCTTAGTACTGTTCTGCCAATAATGTCTCAATTAAATTCTTACCATCTGTTTTTTTTTTTTTTTTGTGTGAAGGAGCTTCGCACATAGACAACACTCCTGAAGGATCACGCTAAATATGGGGTATATGAGTGACCGGTCTCTCCACTTTTGTTTGTCTTTTCCACTATAAAATCTACATCATCCGAGTGGCATCATCATTTAAGACATCCGGCCTTCCCTATTCTCAAACATATTATTTCTAGCAATAATTTACACTTATCTTCCTTTTCTTCGTCAGATATTTTTAGTAATACATGTTTATGCAATAAAGTCATATACTGTCTTTTTCTACTTTTACATTTGTTTCTCATCATCCACCTGAACTAATTTTTTATGATATTTGGAAGTCACCAATATTCTCACATGATGGCTTCAAATACTATGTTCTTTTTATTGATCATTTCACAAAATATATATGGTTTTATCCCGTTAAAGATGTTTTCATGAAATTTAAAGCCATTATTGAAAATTTCTTCAATAAATTTATTGGAAACTCTTTTTCACTTTTTTTTTAATTTATAATTATTATGCTGAATCTTCATTAAGTGGGGCCCTTATCCACGTGTAGTAAATCGTACGGCTGAGCATCGAGGCAAATAGAAGCCAAACAAAAAAATCTTCCACGTTTTTTCTCAAAGGAAGGAAAAAAGAAAGAGTCTCCAATCCTTTTACTTGTAGGATATGAATATCCCCCTTCGAATCTAATGGCGATTTCTGGTTTCACTCGATCTCATCGACCACCACCTGTAAACAACTCGTATCGATCTAGGATTTCCGATGCGTCGTTGAAGCGTTTATACAAACCCTAACTCGACGGCTCTAACTCGGTCTTCCACTTTGACACGCAATCACGCACATATAACCTCCAGGAGCTATACCTTCTGGCCATGCGACTCTGGTTCTCTGCGATATCCCTCTCGAGAGAGGATTCTTTGGATTTGGCTAAATTCTTGATTTGTTTCCGGCTACTTGATAAGGTTTCTAAAAATGTCCAACGATTCTCATGCCCCTAATTCCAAGGTTCTCCTCTGCAATGCTGGCGCTGGCGCTGCCGCCGGTATGGACCCCTGCAACTTTTCTTACCTCACTTTCTTTTACAATCTTTATCTGATCGAACCGAGAAAGTTGACGAAAAGAAGAGATAGCGAATGGAATTTGCGAATACGTATATTTTCTAGAAAAAGAAACTGTTGATAGTGCCTTGCTTTTGTTTTGTTTTTTGTTTTTTTTTTCTCTTCTTTGGTTGTTTTCGTTTTTTGTAAGTCAAAAGTACTAGTGGTCTTTTCATCGAAAGGATTGAAGTTTTCTGCTATCCGTATATGATTTGGAAGGACTACGAAAATTCTCAATCCAGTTTGATTATGTTGTTGGAATTTTGTGTAGGAGTTATTGCTGCTACGTTTGTGTGTCCTTTAGATGTGATAAAGACACGGTTTCAGGTTCACGGGCTTCCAAACCTTGACGCTCAGAATATAAAAGGTACGTATGTCTACTTTGCAGGCATGAACACTCCGTGACATAAACAGATGCATTATTTACTATACAAGATTGTTATAGAAGCAGAGGAACTATTTAGTGGCCGACTTTGGATTATGTACAATTTACAAATTAGTATAAAGTTGAGGATATGCTGAGGTCTAATCTGCGAGTTATCTTACTGTCCAACAGTAGGTGTTCTCTGACTGTGGATTGATTCCAAATTTTGTATGGTTATTTAATCAGTAAGTTATATTTTATTGGATCAGGTAGTTTTATTGTTGGTAGTTTGAAACAAATATTCCAGAAAGAGGGGCTACGTGGTCTGTACCGTGGACTCTCTCCCACAGTACTGGCATTACTTCCGAATTGGGCGGTAAGTCACGATTCTTCCCATTTCAATTTTCTTGGTTTTGCTTGTTGTGACTCGGGATCCTGATGAATTTGCTGACCCGACTTCTCCCCTGAATTGATAAGTAGTTTTCTTGACAACCGCTTCTTGTTTGAATACACTAAGAAATGTTTTTCTTGTTTGCTTGAGTGTAAGACTATGTTAGGTAGGAGTTGGTCGGAAAGTCCTCATAGGAATGAGTATTTTGGTTTATTTAGATGATTTGAGGCAACAACTTTTGCTTGTTTAGAAATAAAGCAACATGATAAATATTGTGCATTGACATTCTTGAACTGCGCAATTAGAACTATTCTTTGGTGCTGGGATCTTATGCGCACACTAGAATCCAATATGGATGAACTGTTTATGTTGCATAAACAAATATTTCAGTGCTGAAGAGAGTACAAAGATACTGGAGTCTCTTAGCCTCAAAGGATCCACCATCCACAATTTTTGGATTCTGATTTACAGGCTTATTACTTGAAGAATCTTCAGTCATCACTGAGGATAATGAAGAGGACATGCTTTAATTTCCAAGAAATTTGAATGTAACTTTTATTTGATAAACAGTATGATATAAGAACATAAAATGATGTTTCACCAACTATTCATTTGCAAGATATAAATCTTATCAACATGAACACGATTCATTAGTTTTCAACCCTCAATGAAGATGTATGAAAAAGCCATAAAGGTATTGAAATAAGGTGGCAGAACTTGGATGTTTCGCAAAGTAATTTGTCTGTGAGGTTAAATGAAAAGTTGTGCACCTAAATGCAGTTGTCATTACATCACTTATATTTATCATGGATTTCAATTTTCACTTCTTGTTATGCATACTGTTTTTTAGTTGTAAGTGCAACCACTAATCATGTTAGAGTGTCATGTGACATTTAATGAATGGATGGTAAGAGTTCTCTAAACTTTAGAGAATTAAAATATTCAGAAATTGTTTGCTTTGAATTTGATGTTTCTGTGCATATACCATGCAATTCTTATATGGCTTCAAAAAATTTTTTTTAAGTCATATGCCTTCGAAATTGTTTTGGGTTTGTTTACATTTCATATAGTACCATTAATTTTACAGGTTTACTTCACAATATATGACCAGCTCAAGAGCTTACTTGGTTCAGATGGTTAGTTCATGAATTTATTCATTATTGATATAAATGGTTATCAATTCTGCAGTTTAACCTTGAGCAAGCATCTTTGTTTTATATATATGTGTGTATACATACAGACACACACACACATATATATATATAACTTGTCAATGTCTGTTGAAGGGTGTAATGCTTTTTCTGTTATGGACTCGTGCAGATGAAAATCATCATCTTTCAATAGGTGCCAATATGCTAGCTGCTTCTGGTGCTGGAGCTGCAACCACCATTGCAACAAATCCTCTTTGGGTTGTGAAAACAAGACTCCAGGTGTGTCTTGATAATTCATTTTTGTTTTATTTTATAATGAGTCTTACAATGTAGTTAACATGTTCAGCAGACAGTGCAGCTTATTTGATCAGTAGCTTAGAATTGTCGAAAACAGAATTACCTGTCTATATTTGCTGCTTTTTTTTCAGTATTTTTAAATAATATAAAATCGCTTGATTGCTGAACTGCCCTTACTCACTTCAAACCTTTGTGTGCTCGCATGTCAAAAATTAAGAAGTTGGTGAGGAGGAATATGGCCAGTGGACATTAATTTTATTAGTTTTACTTGTAACATTTAGTATCCACGTTCTACTAATAAAGAATTATTTTGTATCCACGTCAGTTGTCTTCCAGAAGCAGGCTAGTTATCACTTGTTGAGAAATAGCAACTTTTGAAGCTGGAGACTATAAGCTCTCTAATAATGTTTATAAATAAGCTATTAAAGTGTTTGGCTAACATTAGCTTATCCGTTTTATTAGTTTATTTACATATTTGATAAAAAAAAAATAGTTGATAAGTTGTCAATTCTGTCAAAATGACAGAATGACAATTTTCAGTATTTTAAATGTTAGAGCTGTCGGAATGTGTTTTTTTATGTAAAATTTATTTGTTTAAATTGTTATACTAATTAAAATATGAATTAAGTGTAAATATCATTTCAAATAGTGTTTCAATTATCACTCATACCAGTACTTTTATTGTGTATTTCTTTCAAAAATGTAAATTATCATTTCAGTTGTTATTTTTTATTTTATATTCATACTTAATGAGTGAGGGATGTATATTATAATTTTTGAAGTTGTTAAGAGATAATATGGACTTTGACTTAGTTAACAATAGCATTTTTTTAGAGAGATTACAAGTTCCCAAAACAAAAAGTTAGCTTTCTAAAAATAATTTAGCAAGAGCTTATAAGCTGTCTGGCTTATAACCTCCAGGGTATTTTCCAAATGCGTAAGAATTTCAAAGAGCTATTAGAAAGCTTACAAGTTTCTGGTGACTTACTTATAAACTATCAAACACCCTCCAAGTTAAAGAGTATTTATATATGTTTCTTTTCCTCTTGCAGACTCAAGGGATGAGAGTAGGTATAGTGCCATATAGGAGTACTTTGTCTGCTCTGAGGAGAATAGCTCACGAGGAGGGCATTCGCGGATTGTATAGGTTTGAAACTTTTTATCATATTTCACTCTTTAAACTATTAAAGGAGAGTTCTCTACTGATGAAGACGTGCTTTTATTGAGGTTTGTGATATTCTGTGTTGAGCAGTGGTCTTGTTCCTGCTTTGGTTGGTATCAGTCATGTGGCCATTCAGTTTCCGATGTATGAGACAGTTAAATCCTATTTGGCCAATCAAGGTAGTGGCATGCATTTTGTCATCTGTATAGTCGATAAGTAATTTCTTTTGCTTTTAATTGAATGTGATATTTTCCAGATAATGTTAAAATGGATAAACTCCGTGCAACTGATGTTGCTGTTGCATCATCCGTGGCTAAAATATTTGCCTCAACATTGACTTATCCTCATGAGGTATGTTGGTAAATATATGCTCAACTTAGTTGTCCTTTCCTTTTATATGGTATCTCTGTGGTGAAATAGTGTGTCAAATCATTTCCTTTTCGTTTAATATTAACTTTTATTTGTCCTCAGTGTGTGCATGTATTTCAGAATCCTTCTTTCTTGCTACAAGAAGTCTTGATTATGTAGTTCCTTGTTGTTGTATGAGTCTATCCTCCTCTTGCGTAGTTGGTGGAAGCAGTTATAATGAGAGGGTTTTTGTTGGCCATTGTAGCAATCACCTCTTGCCACAGATTATTCAATTCTCTGAAAAAAGAGGGGTTAGATACAATGTAAATCAAACTGATAATTCCTTCTTGGTAGTCAGAACAAGCTGTTATATTTTGCATGTATTTGTTTACCTAAACTCCCATTTCATGGAAAACTGCCTCTTTCTGGAGTTGTTGCAACTTCATATACATCTGATGGAACTTGTTTTTAAAAGCTCTACTCATTAAGTCTCGGATCAAATGCATGTATCATCTACCATTACCTTTTATGCAGTTCACCCTGATCATGGTTCAGCAATATTACATGAGTTGATGACAATAACCTGTACATTTATTCTTGCATGATATATAGGTTGTACGATCAAGGCTTCAAGAGCAAGGGCACCATTCAGAGAAGCGCTATTCTGGAATGATTGATTGCATTAGAAAAGTATTTCGTCAAGACGGACTCCCTGGCTTTTATCGTGGGTGTGCAACCAACCTTTTCAGGACCACCCCAGCAGCCGTTATCACATTTACCAGCTTTGAGATGATTCACCGATTTCTTGTAGAGCTTTTCCCACCTGACCCACATCCTCACACATTGTGAAGATGGTCATGTATAAATCAAGGATGCAGCATTGCGATGTATTTTCCCTCAGTGACACCCCAAACAAGGGCAAACACATTGTTTTAGTGATGATAGAGAGAGCAAACTAATGTTGCATGCTGTAGTTTCTGGGAGTAGCAATTAGGAAGGTTCAGAGATATTTATACCATAGGAGATACTGTAAGATCCTCCGAAGCAATGGCAAGGATCGTGTTACGACTGGGTAGTGATAATGACGATTCTCAGTAGGGTGGTTAGTACATTGTTGAAACCTCAATGATTAGGACAATTTTTTCTTTTAGTGAATGCCGAAATAATCAGGCTGAATTTTTTTTTTTTTTCAAATATAAATATATATTTAATAATTAAGAGTACTTCCACATTAATACAATCAACTTTATAATAAGAAAACAACCCAATTAATCTCTTAATGAAACAAATATAAAATGCACAGTTGGACTGAATTTATGACCTTATACAGAAAGAGTAAGTTAAATCCGTGAACCATTTTTTTTAGTCTAGCTTTGTATTTTGCTAGCCCTAGCAAAAGAAATGGAAAATTTCCCTGCAACTGGATTTGGGGAAAGCTGCAAGGCCTGTATACAAAGATGGAAGTTTGTATATGGAGCGATATCGTAAGCGAGTCAAAGTTGAGTCCCCACCTTGCATAAAAAGCAAACGAATAATTTTATCCTTAAACCATATTTAAGCTTTTTCTCCAACCATTAGAAAATGTACATAATATATATGATGGCTTTAGATGCCAGAGTGGACTGTGGAGGAATTTGGTTCCAGTATATATATATGAAAAATGGCTAAAATGCAAATTTTCTAAGACTTGTGAATGCTGAATGTCTTGGCCCCTTGGGGGATCATGTTGGGTAAGCTCTGTGGGTAGCCTGAGTTGTTGGACTCAATCTCCATGACCCAAGAAATTAACTCAGCTTATGTGTTGGAAACATGGGAAGCTTTCGCATATTAAAATTAAACTTTGTTCTTGTGGTTGTGATAGCTACAAGAAGAAAAAGATTAAGATAGAAACATTAATAAAGTTTCTTTTAGAGGATTAATTATGTTTATCTTTCTTCCGCAAATTAGTGCTAAACTATTAAGATCGAGATGAATAATTCTGAATCTCACATCACGAAATCGAATTATATATACACCCTTTAAAAGAACAATATACCCCACTCAAAAAAGTGTTAGGCTTGAAAAATGAGACTTGGGAAAATCATTTTCTTTTTTGTTTTCTTCATTCCATTGCCAGTCATTGATGACCGAATAAAGAAGAAAAGTACCCACAATCCCAATACTTAACAACTCAAAAAGCAGAATCCTAATACCTTCATCTCCTCATTCCAAGATTAATTAAACACATTGTTTATACTGATTTTTCTTCAAACACTTTTATATTTAATGTCATCAAAGAAAACAAGGCTAAGCATTGGATGCCAATAATAGCTATTTACAACACATGGGTTTGCTCACACATACATCTCACGTTTGTTAATATGTTGCTGTACGAGGGCCTCTCTTCATTCCTTTATTTTTCTCCAAATGGGTTGGAATACCCCCGAAATACAAAAACATAACTCTGAATCTACATGACAACTTTGATAGGTTCGAGAATTTTTTGAGTTTGAATTTTTTAATGAAATCCTATTTGCTGTTCGAGTAATGGCTTATTATTAAAATCGAGTTTGAAGTTTCTTTTTTAAAAGACGAAAGTAATTCGTTAGTTAATGATTTGGGAGAAAATTGATAGTAAGTGTGCATATAGGTTGTGATGTTGTTAGGAGTGATAGTGCTCCTGAAAGATGAGGAACACAATTTTCAGCACAATATAATTAGAGATGAAATTATGGAGTTGAAATACCCTTTTTCACCTCTCAATTCTCATAATGGGTTTTGGTTGGTTTCAAAAGTTTGTACTCTAATTAACCAAAAGATACCATCACTGCATTTGCTTTCATGATTTATTGGGAATACTTGCACCCCTACATTTAACACACACACATATACATAACACCACCTTATAATCATCTTTCTGTTCTCTCCCTCTCTCTCTCTCTCTCTCTCTCTCTCTCTATAAATATATACATATATTTAAAATATATCACAAGATTATATGAAATAAATAGAGTTATGGTCTATTACAAATGCCATTAGAAAAAGTAATTTTTTACAAATTTTATTATTGTTGGGTCTTACTTTAGGATATAGCAGAATAAGATCATTAATAATGTACATATAACATTTATGCCAGCAAAAAGCACTTGCTTGGACTCTCCTAAGAAAATGAAAAACTACTACCTACTGTCTAGTTTGGTCTCTCTCAACAGACTCTACTTTCTTGAAGATAAAGAATTCAATTTTTGTTTTTGCTTTTGTTTTATTGCCCAACTCATATGGTGCTTGTCACTTGTATGTATATGTAAGTGTGTTTAGAGATAGGCTGCTGTTTGCTTTCCAGGTAATCGATCCTGATTTTCCTCTTGACACTTCTCTTTTTACATATGGCCAGCAAATAATAATGACAATCAAGAACTATAATCATCATGATGGTTTGCTTTAGCTACCTTACACCAATAATCTACCCAATATTTATGTTCTTTAATTTACTTTACTACATGTGGGGTGTATTTTAATTTCATTCTAAAACTAAAATTAAAACTAACACTAATTTTATTTTGCAGCCAACAGTACCGTGTTTGGTAGTCAAGATTTATGCGCTGGTTAAAGATTACGAGTTCTAATTTAATTAAAAATATAAAACTCGACATTTTATGAATATATTATAAACTGATAGTAATTGAGTTATAATATTTAATTCATCGTAAACGAAAATTTCATTTATTAATATGTTAATGAAATTATAGTGATTAAGTTAAAAGAATTTATGTGATTAAAAATATCTTACAAATTAATAAATTTATAAGCGAACTATCCAATTAAGTTTTCACTTACGAAATTAATGATTATATATATTACAAAAAAATCAGAATTGAGAACGTTTATAAAAAGATCTTTTTGTTATTTTTTGTAGACATGGAACGAAAAAGAAAGAATTTCATTTGATGCCAAAGGCACTCTTGTTATTATTAGTCATAGCAATCTTGTTCTATATTTTTGAGCCAAAGGATCGGATGCTCCTCATTACACGAGGGAGAGAATAGAGATAATGATGCTCTTTCTTTTCTTCCTTTTTCTTTTGTCTTCGGCCAAAATAAAGCTAGTGCTAAAAATAATGAACAAACTGAATTAAACGATTCATTAATAAATAAGTCTTTAGTTGCATGGTTAATATATATATCTTTTTTCATTAGAAGTTATGAATTTAAATCAAACTATATATTTATATATTATAATAATGCGTATGTATCATTTAATAATTACAGATTCATAAATCAAAATAATTGAATCCAATTGTCTGCATGATCATGTTAGTGATTTTTCATTGCATTTAGACTCTTCTCATTTGCCTCTCTATTAAAGTGTTGACCAATGATTTTAGACTAATTAATTTATTAGAAAATAAGAAAAATTAAGTGGGTTTAATTACAAAAAGAAAAAGAAAAAACAATACTAATAGTGATGTGCGAAAATTATAAAATATTTTCTTAACTAATAAAATTTAATTATAATAAAATATTTTTTTTTGAGTTAAAATTATAACAATTTGTTAAAAAAAAATTTAATTTAATCAACGCAGTATTATTAATATATTAATAAATTAAATTTTTATTTATTAAATTAAATATTATAAATTAATTATTACCACGGGTCCAAATAAGGTATACCATTCTAAATGAGACATGTGGTTGAATTATATAGGATGTGGCTGGCCATCTTCAAGGCCTGAATCTGCAGCACCAGAACAAGTGACGTGCGCCCCCAATATCATGCTGTGGGTTCACTTAACATGTGAAGCCGATTAACCAAAAAACACAATCATAACTTTTATAGCCAGCTTAAATATTAAGTGCTTAAATTTTTAAGTGCTTACTAATCAATAACTTACACTTTTTTTGAAGGATCAAGAATTATTATAAAGAAGAATGATTACTAATTTGGTTGCATAATTAGTAAAAGGTTAAAACTCAAAGTAGCATAATCTCGTATTTAGGGATAATTATGTTTTAATTATTCTTCCTAAAGTTTCATTTCGCATACATATTAATTAAGAAATTGTTATACGAATCATATACATTATATATATATATATATAATAACAATTATATATCCAAGTCTGGTTCAAACTGTATAATGCATCTACGTAATTGATAAATTCAGCCATGGGTACTAAAGGGTAGGGTCCAATACCATTTTAATTTAAAATTTATCATCATTATTTTAAATTAATAATATTTTTTTTTTTACTCAATTCAGATTTTTGGGATTACCCACCAGGAAAATTGTAATTATCAATCACCTTTTAATTATTTTATTATAGTTTAAGAACTAGAATTTTGTATGAATATAACATATATAAATTACAAAATCTGTAATTACGTATTAAATATATACATTAAATAATTAAAATTTAAGAATTAAATAAAAATTAATTAAATTTGTGACTCCAAACTAAAAAATAAAAATTAGTGGTGCCCAAAATTAATAAACCCACATGACATGTTGGTTAATGCTTGATTTATAAATTATCTTCGGCCAATACCAGCTTTTACCACCTTACCTTTGCTTTGTATTTTATACCACGTTCTCCTGTGAGCACTGCCACGTAGACTCAAGATTATTATTATTTTTTATATAAAAAAATAATTTATAAGTCTTTATGAATTTAAACGGAATTTGTAAAATAAAAATTATTTTAAGAATTTATAATAAATACAAATTTATTAATAATAATTATTATTATTATTTTATCTTATAAAAAAATATTAGGTTAACAAATTAGTGAAATCTAAAATTAATAAAAATATGATCATTAAAATTATTATAATTTCTCAAATCACAAAATGTATTTTAAAATTATTTATTTATTGTTTCTTTTTTTTTAAATAAAAAAAAACACACTTGCGTATTAAAACATGGTTAAACAACTAGTTAATTGTAAAAACACTATATATTTCTTCGTTATGAGTTTTTCACGCCCGGCAGTTGCGCGTGGGTATGTCGACGCT